ACGCGCTCCAGATCCAACTTACAGATCACCATTTGAGTCAACCACCAGATCGTTATCAATATTTGAAGCCGTCTAACGGAAATCCGACTGTGCTCTCTATCTCTCATTATAGGCACATCTGAGCCTATTGTGACTATAACAAGTGGTATCAGAGCCTGGAAGGTCCAAGGTTCGAATCCCACTGTGCGCAGAAGAGGCGCCGGGTGCCCTGACGACCCCAGTGAGGGGGAGATTGTTGGTGGGGCACTGGGATCGTCCTAGTTGAGTGTGGGAGGGCTACAGGTACGTCCTGGGGGGTAATGGGTGCGCTACCCACCACAAAAAACATGCCCTTTTAACCTAGTCGGTAGCGGGCTGGGCCAACAGTGGTATCAGAGCTCCTTGGAGCCGTCTCGACCATGCCTAGACCTGAGGAACGGGGTGGCAGAGGTGCTGGAGGCAGAGAAGACGCCCAAGCACAAGGTCAACACCAAGATCCACCCGTTGCTCCGGTGCAACCTAGCCTTGGACCCTCTAGGGATGAGCCTAGAGTGTTTGGCCTTGACAAGTTGAACGGTGACAACTTTGCTGAGTGGTCCTTCAAGATGGAGAACATCTTTGACCACTATGATCTGCTGGAGGTGATGGAAGGAACGGAGAAGTGCCCCGAGAACGACCCGGAGAAGAGCCCGTCGGTGCGGAAGAGCGCACAAGGCTACCTTCTACTTGGGCAAGCATTGGGGAGCAGCCAAATCCGTCACATCAAGCCTCTTCAGCGTGAACCAGCAAAGGGACCAAAGGCATGGGCTGCTCTCAAGGGTGTACATGCTCCTGCAACAGCGGCGGTGGCTGTGGTTTTGGAGCGGCAAATGGCGGCACTTCGAATTGACGAAGGCGAACCGGTGGAGGAAGGAGTGCAGAAATTCTTCGACTTGTTGACACGGCTCGAAGGAGTTGACCTGAACTACAGTGACCTTCAAAAGAGGACCAAGCTGCTGGCCTTACTTCCGGACTCATGGTCCTCGCTCATCATCAACCTTAATCGAGATCTGCCCCGTCTCTCACTCGAAGATGTGAAGCGGGAAATCTTACAAGAAGATTTCCGCCGTCGCGAATTGGCGGGTCCCGATGGTGCCGGAGTTGCAAGCATGGGCCGTGGGCACGGCCGTGGAAGGGGCAGAGGGCGAGGAGGAAGATTTGGCAGCAGTAACTTCAATGGAGGCCGTGGTAATGGAGGATATGGCAGCAACAACAACAACAATGGCTACGAGCGTGGGCGCGGTCGATTTGATGGCGAATGCCACTTTTGCCACAAGACCGGCCACATGTGGAGAGATTGCTTCAGATTGCCTAATGGATGGACCCCTTCTCAAGGCCAAGAGGGCAGAGGAGCAAGGGGAGGAAGAGGCAGAGGTCGTGGAGGCCGTGGTGGTCGTGGAAGCGAAGCGGCAAGCATGAAAGGTGGAGACTACGACAAGGACTCGAGTGAAGATCGATACCCGGGCCAATTCTTCTTTGTCTCCACGCAAGCGGCAGCTGCAGCAGGAGGTGTGGAAGGCTTTGAGGAGCCAGCTACTGTGGGAAAGGTCACCCTTCACTCTCTGGACTTTTGGGTGATCGATAGCGGCGCCACCTACAGCATGACACCTCGTGCGGACTTGCTCACCGAACTCGAACCGTCGCCGGTCAAGCATGTTACATCGGCTTTGGGGCAGCGAGCAGAGGTGAAGGGTATGGGCAAGGCCATGTTCAAGGGTTCTGATGGGAAGATGGTGGGCCTCAAGAACGTGCTTTTGGTGCCCAACCTTGCAGCCAACCTGATTTCCGTTCGGCGTTTGCAAAACGCCGGCATGGACACATCTTCCAAGGGATCCAAAACCTATACCGCAAGGCTTGGTGAGCGGGAGCTTTGGGACCTTCATGAGGACAGGGACATCTACAATGAGATGTGGCAAATCCCAGTGGTCCCCATGCCTAAAGAGAGGCAAGTGGCAGCAAGCGTCAGCACCAAGCGTGAAGCGGTTGGTGGCGGTGATCACGGAAAGCAAAGTGACACCAAGAGTGACTCGAAGGAGTGCAACCTTGGAGAGACCAGCAAGGCGTGTAAGGAGAATGGTGCAGCAGCCAAAGGTGGTGGAAATGAGGAGGAAAAGGCTAAGATCAACAAAGCAGCAGCGGCGAAGGAGAAAGGAGAGAGCTTGTGGGGCACAATTGCGAGTGCCGCTTTCTCCAACCCGACTTCCGCTACGGGAGAGTGTGATTGGCTGACCTTGCATCGGCGAATGGGGCATGTGGCATTGCCCATTTTGCAGCAGATAGTTAAGCAAGAGATGGTCAGTGGGATACGTGTCAAGGGGGAGCCCAATGAGGTGCTTGGCTGTCCAACATGCATGCAAGCCAAGTTCACCCGCTACCCGTTCCATAGCTCGGAGACAACGGCGAAGGCACCACTTGATGAGGTGGTGATGGATGTGGTGGGCCCCTTGAAGCTTGGCGCTGCTGGAGCAGAGTACTTCCTCACCATTGTGGACGTCTACACTCGCATGACTTGGGTGTATGTGCTGCCCAAGAAGAGTGACGTAGCTGAAACGGTGAAGACCGATTGGTTGCCGATGGTGGAGCGGCAACAAGACCGACTTGTGAAGGCGATTCGCACTGACCGTGGGGGAGAGTTCTTGAGCAAGGATTTCTCAACTTGGCTGAAGAAGCAGGGCATAAGGCACTCTCTTACCATGCCCTACTCTCCTGCAATGAACGGCATCGCCGAGCGTGCGAATCGGACACTCACGGAGACGGCTTGGGGACTTCTCATTGAAGCCGGTCCACCCAATTACTTTTGGCCGGATGCGGTGCGGCATGCTTGTGTGGCCAAGAACAGAGCCTTGACTCATGTGGGAGAAGACAAATGGGTGCCCTATGTGGAGTGGATTGGAAGGAAGCCGAAGGTGGATATGCTTCGGGTGTTCGGGTGCATGTGCATGGCACTTGTGCCTAAGAAACTTCGGCACAACAAGCTTGATGCCAAGGCAACATGGGCCGTGCACCTGGGCATGGCCCAAAACAGCAAGGGATGGCTTCTATGGGACCCATTTACCAAGAAGTTCCTGGTGAGCAGAGATTGCAAGTTCATGGAGAACTTACCGTACAAGGAGTGGAAGGCGGAGAACCAAGCGAAGATTGGTGTGCGGCTTGGAGAGGTGAAGAGGACCGGCTTGGAGCATGTGGAGCTGCCCTTGGAGCTGAGTAGCAGCAGCACAATCACGAGGCAATCTCCCCAAATGAATGGGGATGAGGAGGAGGAGGAGGTGCAGCAAGGTAATGAGCGTGCACCGCCACTTCCGCCTCGTGCTACAAGTGCTCGCGGGAACAGACCGGACTTACCGCAAAGCCATGAGAGCATTCAAGTCCCTGCAGCAGAGGAGGAAGGAAGGGGGAGAAGGAGGACTCAGCCCCCCAATAGGTTGAGCTATGAACGGCTTGGAGGACCAGCCAACTCAACCTTGACCGGTTCGGCTCTCATGCTAGGTGATGATGCGGAAGATGAAAGCGAGGAGTGCGCCTTTGCCTTCTTCTCTCCGGTGGAGATACCGGGGGAGCCTACAAATCCCAAGGAGGCTTGGGAGGGCACCAATGGGAAGGAGGGGAAGAATGCCTCAGATGAAGAAATGGGGAGCATCATCGAGAACGACACGTTTGACTTGGTGAACCTACCTCCGGGGGGTAAGGCGATTTCTTCCAAGTGGCTCTTCAAGCGCAAGACCGACGCCGACGGCAACATTGAGCGCTACAAGAGCAGACTTGTAGCCAAGGGGTACCAGCAACAGGAGAAGAAGGACTACAATGAAGTATATGCTCCTGTGGTGAAGGGTACAACCCTTCGAACTCTCTTCGCCGCGGCGGCCATCAAAGGATGGGTGGTGAAGCAAATGGACATTGTAACGGCCTTCCTCAACGGCGTTTTGGAGGAAGAGACCTACATGGAGCAGCCAGAGGGGTACAATGATGGGAGTGGCAGAGTGTGGAAGCTGAAGAAAGCACTCTATGGCCTCAAGCAAGCCCCTAGGCAATGGTACATCAAGCTGCGGGAAGTCTTGGAGGCGATCGGCTTCACTCCCTCAACGGCCGATCAATCCTTGTTCATGCTTGGCGAGGGGGAGCAGAGGAGCTTCATGGTGGTTTATGTGGATGACATCCTCATATTCTCACCCTCCTCTGACCTTGTGAAGGAGGTGATGCTGAAGCTTCAAGACAAGTTCAAGTGCAAGACCCTTGGTGACGTCAACTACTACCTTGGGCTTCACATTGAGCGAGATGTGGAGAAGCGGTGGATGCGAGTGCATCAAAAGAAGTACTTGGAGGCCTTGGCTGCAAACTTTGGGAAGAGTGAAGGTCATGTGGCTACTCCTCTTCCCTCACGGTTCAAGTGTGTGAAAGGACCAGCGGAGGAAAGTGTTGGTGAAGAGGAGAGGCCACGTTTTCACTCCTTGGTGGGCAGCCTCATGTATGCGGCCGTTCACACAAGGCCGGATGCAGCCTTTGCTACTGGGCAGCTGGCTAGGGTTGTCCAATGCCCTAATGAGGAGCAGGTAGCAGCTGGAGAGAGGGTGGCCAATTACCTTGGCCAAACAGCAGCTGTTGGACTGCAATACTCCGCGGCGGCACAAAGGCGTCAAAAGGGTGCGGATGGAGTCGAACCCGGGAGGCTCTTTCTCACCGCCTTCTCTGATGCATCTTGGGCATCAGAACCAGAGGACATGACAAGTGTGGGAGGCTTCATCTGCTGTGTTGGTGGAGGGCCAACAGCTTGGGAGAGCAAGAAACAAGTGGACCAAGCATTGAGCTCGGTGGAGTCCGAGTACATGGCACTCTTCCGTGCCATAAGAGAGGTTGTGTGGCAGCGGCGTTTGCTAGCTAAATTGGGGGAGGAGCAGCAAGGACCTACCCCACTCTACTGTGATAGCCAGGGTGCTATTGCATTGGCTAAGAACCCTATTCTTCATGGCCTTACCAAGCACATGAAGGTGAAGTGGCATTGGGTGAGGAGCATGGTAACCGCGGGTGAAGTGGAGTTGCACTATGTGAAGACGACGGCGCAGCCTGCTGATATGATGACCAAGAGGCTGGTTGAGCAGCAGCATTGGAAGTGTTGCAAGCTTGCTGGGATGGCTCTGAACTAAGGGGAGCAGATTCTAAGGCCAACAATCCGAGGGGAAGTTTGTTGGTGCAACCCTATGGCTTGCACTCGGCTTGTCGTCCTTGTTTGTGTGTGTGCATGCATGGCATGGAATGAATTGTGAGTCTATGTCATTACTATCCAGTGCTTGTGTGTGTGTTTGAATGGTGTATCACAATGTGGTTTGTGTCGGTCAAGACATTAGCGAGTTTTTACAACTCGCACGTCAAGTCGTCGTTTGTGTGTCGCATGTGTTTTTTCTATTTTTGTCGAGTGTGAAGTGTCCATCGTGTCGCAGGTGTGTGCAGGAAGCCCCCATCAACTCAAGAAGAATTTATCTTGCAGAACCAAGACCAAGAGCTCAAGATTTCAAGCCCAAGGGACACGGATAAATATTAAATAGTGAAAATAGTAACGCTACTTCGTGTAGTGTTACATTTCACTTGGTGTAGCCCCTTGGAGGGTTGGTTTCGAGACTCTTCATGGTTGGGGACTCTGTGGTGGTGTACCACCAACCTGGACCTCGGCTCTTGGGGTATGTAGAGGCTGGGAACCATCTCCCTCTCGAACTCTTCTTGCTAAGTTTGTACTTCCAAGACTATAGTGGCTGCTATACCTCCTGCCAGTCAAACCGCCATAGCGTCGTCAAATCTTCATGGAAATTCATGATTCAACTTGCTGCTGATAGATGACAGCAACGCGCTCCAGATCCAACTTACAGATCACCATTTGAGTCAACCACCAGATCGTTATCAATATTTGAAGCCGTCTAACGGAAATCCGACTGTGCTCTCTATCTCTCATTATAGGCACATCTGAGCCTATTGTGACTATAACACTACCGTGGGGAAAGTAGAGAGATCGGGGAAGAGCATGGGTAGGATCAAGCGGCCAGCTGAGGCGGAGGCAGGCGTGGAGTAGCGGGCAACTACTGCATCTAGGAAATCCTTGACGGTCGTGACTGTAATGAAACGCGGGCGCTCAGAAAGGGGAAGAGCATGACTAATGGCAAGCTGCGCTACAGTATCGCGAGAATCCCAGACAGGGCGAGCGATCGCAGCAGCAGCAAAGGCCTCACTCTCAGCAGTGGTGGGGTCAGCAGGGAGGGGAGCAGGGGCGGAAGCAAGCCATCAAAATGCATAGCCAGGGAGTGCCCATCCTAGCGCTGACCTGTCACGTGCTGGCGGAGATCGACAAGCCACACGGCGAAGTCGATCGCGTACCCCTCCGCGTCTAGACGGAGCATGGCGTCCGCCATCGCTCAACCACAGCGGCTTAGGGACACAGCGGCTGAGCGGCAGGACTCTCCGGAACTGAACCGAAGGGAAGGCTGAGGAGGGCGCGCGCGGAGTCGAGGCGCAAAACAGGGCCAGCGTGTGGAGAGGGGCCGGCAGGGCGCGTGGGGCCGGAGGTGCGCAGGAGAGGGGGCCGGCAAGTTGGTAAGGGCCGGCAAGGTGGTAGGGGCTGGCAAGGTGGTAGGGGCCGGCTAGGTGGTAGGGGCCAGCTAGGTGGTAGGGGCCGGCTAGGTGGTAGGGCTAGGTGGTAGGGGACGGCTAGGTGGTAGGGGCCGGATAGGCGCAAGGGGCCGACTAGGCGCGAGGGGCCGGCTAGGCATGAGGGGCCGGCAAGGCGCGAGGGGCCAGCTAGGGCATGAGGGGGGCTGGTGAGGCGTGAGGGGCCAGCTGGGGCGTGAGGGTTCGGTCAGGCGCGAGGGGCCAGCGAAGGCGAGAGAGGCCGGCTAGGCGCGAGGGGCCGGTGAGGCGTGAGGGGCCAGCTAGGTTGCGATGGGCGGGCCGGCTGGTCACGAAGGGGGACGGCTGGGCGCTAGGGGCGGGCGACGACGCGAGGGGCTAGCTAGGGCGCGAGGGGCCAGCGAAGGCGCGAGGGGCTTGCGAAGACGCAAGGGACGGGCCGGCTGGTCGCGAAGGGGCCGGCTAGGCGCAGGGGGGCCGGCCAGGGGGCAAGGGGCCGGCTGGCGCGCTGGGGGCCGGCGAGGCGCGGTAGGCTAGAGCGCGGGGCAGAAGCGGGTGGGGGGGGGACCTAACCTACGCATGATACCATGTTGAATACTAAGATAATGGAAACAAGGGAGAACAAAAGAGATATAGTGTTGGGGTTGTACCCATTAAGAACATATACCTATCCAGCCTATAACTTCTACATAACATCATATGTAGAAGTTGACATTGTGTGCCTCTGGCACAGATCGAGAATTACCCGATGTTACGAGTCTACCTCCAGTCTCGCAATGTGCGCGACGTCGGCGGTCTTAGCTAAAACCATACCTTGGAGGGGGGAGGGTGTAAGGAAATAGTATTTCCTTATGAAGGGTTTTAGTCAGTAAGGCGTACACTACTATAACGGGGTTGCCGTGGAGCTCAGCCACGAAATTCAAATAACGGTCCCAAATGTGGTCTCCTGATGAACCGCATACATTATTTCCCGCCTTGCTGTTGCATGCTTGGATCTGGGCGCTCCGCGCCAATTACGAACCACACGTCGCAGCTCTGCCGAGCCACGACCATGTGCTCCTAGGCTAGCTATATCCATGCTCCTTGTTTTGATATAACAGTTGTATTGTTTCCTCTCTAATCAATCCTTCGACACACACTCTTTGCGCTTCATTACAAGAACCCATACGAGTGTGTGGTTTGTTAGGACGCGCTGCTTTGGGGGAATAAGATCGTATTCTGAAGTTGGGCCGACGAGCAAAGTTTTCCCATGCGGCTCGAAATGTCTTGAAATGTCTGAAATTGGGAATGCAATGTTGGGCTGTGCGCTTCGGCTTTTGCCGAAACCAAAATTTTCGTCCATGTGCCCTGCGACGTGGGCGCACGACCAACGCGATCAACACGTCTGGCGCAAATTGGTACTGTGGATGAATGCGCCTCGTCTGGACGTGAGACACGTTTGCAAAACAGACAGCCCAGTGGCACGGTTAGTGCATCAGCTGCCCGGAACAACACACAAACAAACGAGGCACGAAATGAATAACGGGCAGAACTTCCTGGACCCCAATATCGCCTCTCAAGCCATAAAAACCTAACAGCAGCATCGCAACGCGATGGGTACAGTTTAGCAGTGCAGGTTTTGGGGCTGTTGGCAGGTTTTTTTGTACCAATGTTGTTGCAAACTCGACCGTCAGGTTGCAGACGCGCAGCCCGTACATTCCTCTCTTCGCCTATGGGTCGCAGCCCGTTGTGCGTGCTTCCCAGTTGGCCGCGAAATTTTGGAGGTCGCATTTTCGCGGCTTGTTTTCGGTGGCCTTTTCGCGAGCGTTTCGCAGCAAGGTTGGGTATCCACCACGGTTTCCCGAGTCGCATGGGAAAACTTGGTGCCTATGGGAGAACTTGGTCGTCGGCCCAACTTCAGAATTCGCTGTAAGGGAGCATGTAAATTTGGGCGGCGGCTGTGTTCGTCTGCTCCGTTCCTCCATTCGATATGCCCGTGGGCAGTTTAGGTGTTCCGGTAAAATTTGGCCAGGCCACGAGGCGAGACAATCGAGACCGCCCCAAGTTGCCGAATACAGCGGGTATGCCATTACGTCCGTGACATTTTACTCCATGTAATACTCCAAGGTCCGGAATTCGATAAGATCGGCCACGATGTACTCCGTCAGTACGGTATACATCTACTGTTGACTTCGCTAAAAAGCGCAATAGAACATTGTAACCAATCACGAGAGTCACATAATGCCACCGACCATAGAGTCGCTCCACCCAAATTGGGTGCGATCGCAGCATGCGAGTGTTGCCAACCAACCCGCGAGTGCGAGCTCGGAAATTCCTCGTAAATTGTGCTTGGAATTGCCCGGCCAATACGCGCTTGCCAGGGCGATAAGACGTAATCACGACGGACCGGCGGGCGACAGCCAGCTGGTACCCCCGTCCACCTGGCACTTTTGCATGCGCACTGACATGGGCATGAATCCGTACCCCCTTGCATCCATTCTATCTTATTATTACGGTCCTACAGTGACGGAAAAAACTGTCTGGATGTTTGACACTAATTAGGATTTTTAGGCTTTTCGACCACGATATATAAAGTCTTAATGTCTAATGGTGGTACGCTTTGGGAGGGGCACATAGTGGATGTGTTCAGTGCGCTAAAATCCATAGTAGTACACTGGATCTAACTTAGTGCCAAAAGTTATACAAGGGGGTCATCCGGACAGTTTTTTCCCGGGACAAAGCGCAAACTCCTAGGATAACATGCCTAGGAGGGTGCGGGTGGTGATCAAGGCCAAGGGTCGGTGTACTAGGTACTAGAAACCAGTTCGGAAGTTTGCGCTTTGTCCTGGGAAAAAACTGTCTGCATGACCCCCTTGTATAACTTTTGGCCCTAAGTTAGATCCAGTGTACTACTATGGACTTAAGTGTTGTGAACACATCCACTATGTGCCCCTCCCAAAGTGTACCACCATTAAACATTAAGACTTTATGTACCCTGATCGGAAAGCCTAAAAACCCTAATTAGTGCCAAACATCCGGACAGTGTTTTCCGTCACTCTATTCTAATCCCCGTGTCAGGAACATTCGAGGCATTTTCCATATTATATAACCAATCACGTAAATATTCAGGCTTTTCGCGTGACACGAACAGGTCCGTCCCGAATACGAAAACACGA